AATTAGGTAGTATTGGTATAGTTTACCCTTTATCTTAAATAATTTACCTTTAATTGTTTAACTAGTTTATAATTATACGTTAAGTCTTCTAAAATTTATTTTTTTATAAATTAAATTAATATTGCTCATCGTTAATGGTGCTTGTCGAACGTTGTAGAATTTTCCTAAATTATAAACATGGGACCAATATTTTCTTTTTAAATATTAAGAAGCTTTTTGAATGCAAATATTAATACTTTATTAAACACATTTTTTGTATTCATGTTATTTTTATATTATATATTAACCATTTCTCATATTTCTAATTATTTTTGGGTAAATTGCATGTTTATTACCCAACTATCACTTTTATTCCATTTTGGTCAACAAACTATTTTCTTTTTAAAAGCATGCATAACGTTTAGTTTTGGTTTCATTTTGGTTACTCTTCATTAAAAAGATTAACGTATCACCATAAGGTATTATCACATCATTATTGGGAAAAATAAAAAATGTCACGTTAGTAATCCTTTTAATTTTGGCAGGTGACCAAAATATAATGCTATATAAGATATTGAAAAAAATAATGTAATAGTATAGTGTATAATACTACTTGACTAGCAGCAATAGATAACTTACAAGTATATATTTTTCTACAATCACTTGTATATTTTGTATTTGTTTCATTAGTTGATTCATTTAGATTAAATGATGTAAAATCTCATTATAATATGCTTTTTTAACTTAATATATTTTTTCAGAATATTAAAATATTAATGTTTCATCTTATCAGATTACTTATTTTTAAATAATATAATGGATATATTGTGAGAAGTTATTGCATCGAGTGTCATTTTATTCTTTTTTGTTAAGAAAATAATGGTGTAATTAATTGAGAATTAAAATACGTTTAATGATCATAACTAAGATGCTGAGTGGCATTTGTTATGAATAAACTGAGTTAACAATATTAATAAACCTTAACTGATGTGAACCATATTTCTCACCAAAAGCAATTCTAATTATTCAAAACCACCGTCTCTAAAAGCATTGACTTTGAAGTCCATGGCTTATTTTTAAAGCAATTCGTCTTTGTATTAACAGTATTTTATTTATTGTTCAATCAACAATCAATTTATTTAGTTAAATGAGATTATTAAAATTTTAGTATCACGAATAAAATAAAATATTAATATTTAGATTAATTAATTAATCAAATACATATGATTATAGGATTTTGACTTTTATTTGCTAATGAGACAGAAAATATTACTATTAGAAAAAATGATTTTAAATAATCTCGAATTTTAAAACTTGAATAAGAGGATTTGACCTTAATAAAAGTCAAACTAAAAAGATAATTTCAAACTATTTCTAGACAATAATATTAAAGGCTGCTATGAACTTTTTTTTTTTGTCATAGTTTTTCTTTAATCAGATATACTCAGTCCAGATAGAATATTTATTTAAATTTTAATTATAAAATATACTAATATTTAAAATCAATTGAAAACATACTTTTATTATGCAATTACGATGGAAATTTCTATCCATAGCTAAGCCCGTGTATGAAGAAAACAATAAAAGTCTAACCCATGAAAATGCTCCAAGCAAACTCGGGCTTTTTTCTGAAGATTGGCCTACACTAAAATTCGACCTTTCGGTCCAATATTATATATATATAGGGCTGTTCAAATCTAGGTACCCGAAGTTTCGAGTATTCAGATATTTGATTTTTCAGCCTGTTTCTTGACTTGGATACTGTGGATACCCGTAATTAGGGTAATCGGGTACCTTGTTTTTTTTTATCATTTTCAATTTATTAATTTTTTTAAAATAAAACTTATATTATTAAAAAATATTATATTAATTATTAAACATACAATTATTGGGTGGTGGGATTTTTTAAATTTATTAGTTTAATTTAATACATAAAATTATTAATAATTAAATATGTAATATTATAATATAAAAAGTAAATGTAATCGGGCATTCATGTAACAGGGTGCCAGAAAAAAATGTAATTTTGTGACTCGGGCCCGACCAAAAAATGTCGGGTTGGGTTTTTTTTAGAAAAATAGACAATTTTTTTAGTTCATGTTGGTGGGTCGAGTATTTTTGAACACCGCTATATATATATATATATATGGTGTTTTAATTTATTCAAATATTTATTTATTTATAGATATAAAATTAAATTAAAATTTAAAATTTTATATATACGATATGTTTACACACACTGTAAAATTGAAGAAAATCAAATGATGAGATTAATAATATGAAATGAGAAGATACTTATGAGGAAAAAAACAAGGAGTTAACTTCATTCTTTGATTTTCTTCAATCCAATGGTCCAAAAAAAATATAAAACTCTTAATTTACACCGGATATAAGTGTATTGTACCATATATATATCAAATTATCAATTAAAATAAAGTTATTATGTAAATATGATAATTTACACAAAGTTATATAAAATAATCAGTCTATATCCAAAATTAGGTGAAAAAAATAGAGAAATAAAGGTTACATCATCACATAGATTCCTACTTGAATACAGATGACAAAATTTCTCATACACACAAAATATCTTCAAAAATAATTATCATTTAATAGGGGTGTAGATGAATCGAGTTTGAACGAATAAAACTATGTTCATGTTCATTTCTTTATTTTTAAAGGTGTTCATGTTTGATTTGTGTTTATTTAATTTTCAGTATCATGTTTGTGTTCGTTTCTTCATGTTCACGAACATGTTCGTTTCATGTTCATGAATATGTTCATTTAACGTTCTTGAAAATATGCATTTAACATTTGCGAACATATTCATCTAATATTTGACAACCTCTCAGTTTAATTTTTTATTTGCAAAGCGAAGAAAAATGATGAAATTATGTCACGAATCCTTAAGTTTATTAGACATCACAATTTAAACTCTAAAATTTAATTTATGTTCAATTTAATCCATATCTTTATCAACATTTAAAATGTAAAGAATAAAAGGAAAACCAAGTAAAAGAGTCGACGAGCCTATAAACGAGTTTAAACAAGCACATAAATGAGTCTATAAACGAGCTAATGAACAAGTCAATAAATAAGCTTATTTGTGACATAAATGAATCAAAAACATGTATGTTTATGTTTGTGTAATTAAATAAATATACTTTTTTATTCATATTCGTTTATTTAGTTTAATAAATAATCATAAACGAACGTTATACTAATAAATCATCAAATACTATGTTAATTTAAATCCTTTCATTTGGTTTGATGAATTTTGGAAGTTTGAAACTTAAATACCCTTTGCTAGTTTATCATTTAATATTTGTATCAATGTAATTTTTATATTTAATTCAGTGACATCTGCGATAATTATATTTATTAATAATATATTCGAGTACTTTTAATAAGAGTAATCATTATTATTTACTTATTCGAACCTCTTTAAGAATCTCAACCTTCAATTAATTTAACACTTCAATGCTTTAGGTTTTGAATACGGTGATAATAGTTTATAATTTATTATTTTTTAAATAATAAATTAGGTTTTCATTAAACAAAATATATATAATAAAAGCAACACAATCTCAACCTGAAAATTGAAAGGATGTGAAAAAAATAAAATTAAAGCCTTCACTTGAATATATGTTTCTTTTTTAAATAGCAACTATCAATAATTTTTATCTTTCTATTCAAAATTAAACGTAATATTGATGTACGCGTGAAAATTATGAGAACCAACATAAATTACTTTGTGAATAATTCTAAATGTATTGAAAAATTGTAGCAAAAAATATCTAACTATATGATACCATCGATCTTTTCTAATTAAGAAGTATGCCGTGATGAATGCAACACGAAATGTCAAACTATCATAATAATAAACAAAAAATCGTGCATAAAAGTAGAAGAACAATTGTGTCACAAAAGTAAAAAAAATGTTTCAAGAATATACGGAAAAAATCAAAATGGAAAAGTTTGATAAATTATAATAATTATTTTGCGAAGTTTAATGATAATTTTTTAATTTATAAAACTGCAATGGCTAAAAGAATAATTTTAATATATTTAGTGACTATCTATGTATTGATAAATTTGAGTGAAGACTTCAATCAAGCCGTTGACCATAAAGGGTCAATGTTATTTCTTGTACTATTTTTCTGCCTTGTGATTATTCGTTGGTGGGTTGTTATTTATTTATTTACTAATTTATTTTTTGAGAAAAAAAAAAGCAAGTAAAGTACTTGGAGACAGCCATGGGTTACGTCAAAGCTCAAAACAGCACACCATTTTTATTCGATCTTCTTTCAAACAAAAGTGCCGGTCAGGGCTTTCCTTGATATTTCACACGCTTAAACAACTATTAACTTCATCTACACCAGCAAACAGCGACCTTATTTTTTTTTCTCCCTTCACCATTAACACGCCGCCCTCTGTCTGTCACTTTTAAGGTTTGGTGTGAAGCTTTTCCTTTTCCATCCTTTCTGATGTTTTCAGATTTTTTTTTCTGTCTGGGTTTGTTTCATTTCATGGTTTTGTGAATTAGGTGGTTGAATTTAATTTGATTGGTTATGGTTTTCTGGGGTTTTGAATTTCTCTCTTACTACTGTTCCAAGTTCCAACTATTCCTTTTTTTTTTTGTTTTCTTCATATGTATGCACATAATTTGTCAGGTGGAAGTGACTTTGATCATAACGTTTGAAGCTTTTGATTGAATTGTGCAGGGTTTGCTAGATGATGGAGTCAACTGATTGAAAACACTTTTGGGGGGCTTTAAATAAATGGGGTCAGCTTTAATATCTATCAGAGTTTCAGGATTCATGTTGGTTCAGTCAACTCAACCGTGAAGACTTTGGTCAAATTTTGCAGTTCCCTTTGAAGAAAGAGAATTGAACGATTGGAAAATCTCTTTGGAGTTTCCCCCTTTGTTAGTTTGGAGGCGAAAGAGAAACTCAGTTTGGGTTTGTTTCTTTTGTGATTGTTGAATTTTTTTTTTTTTGATAAGATGATTGTTGAATATTAGATATGTTTATTGAGAGCAATTCACTACTTTGATTCAAGTTCCTTGGGGGTTTACCTTGGTTACCATGCATCATTAATTTGCTGTATTGAGTTATGAACAACATTGAATGAAGTAATTAAGGTTCCGGGGGTTGATTTTGCATGTTTCTCCCCTTTGTCATTACTTGGAAGCGGCTGGCAGAATAAACGATGCTTCGTCTACTGTTGTTTAGTCTACTGTTGTTTGTGCAATTATCAAGATTCTTTGCCTCTGGGATTGAAGTAAAGTCGAAGATTTGCGGTGCCGATCACATAGCGTACTCGAATTCGAACAGTCATGAATTGTTTTATTTGAACGGCAATCTAGTAGATAAAGTTTTGTTCTGTAAGGTCCTGCAGTTTCACTATGAAGATAATTGTGTGCTGGAAGGCTATACCGGTGCAGATTGTGGTTTGGATGTTTCATTAGGTGACACGTTATTTTGAGCTTCTAATTTAAAATATTTTATCTAATAAGTGTTATGGATGTTTATTACATGATAGGATTAGATTTCTAGAAACTTTATCGATGCATTTTGCTTTTGGCAGCCGATTTATCAGTCGGAAGAGGACGGAAATTATTGCACGACCCCAAGAAAGATGAGATACCCGATAATAACCTGGAGGGGAAGGCTAATCGTACATATCCGGCCTCAACCAAAGTAGGGATAGCAGCAGCAGCTGGAGTATTTTTAACTTGTGTTTTTGTATGCCCCTGTCTATACAAGAAAAAGAGACCTACCGACCACGCTGTTCTTTCCAGGGATCTAAATACAAGTGAGTCTTAACTTACTTAGCTGTGTCTGGTCAATGGGCATTTATGAAATTAGAGAAGTTCTGAACAAGGTTTTTCTCTATATAAGATTCTACCATTAGATGCAAGTTTCAAATGAGTAGTCGATGATAATATTTTGGGTTTAAAGTTTAGTCTTTACTGCTTATAAACAATGTTGCAATGTTTATTTCCTATTTGTTATCGTATCTTTGTCGGTTAAACTTTCTTTTTTGTTCTTTCTAATGAATCATAATTTGCTTGTTCTGTTTCTAGTTATGAATGGATGGTTCCGTTTTTGCAGTTGAATCAGCTGCCCCTTCAGAAATGAGTGTTCATTCACTTCCCGAGAAGGTTCCGGCCAGCCCACTCAGAGTACCACCTAGTCCTTCAAGATTCTCAATGTGCAACTCTCCGCAGCTCTATAGAATCGGGTCAGTGCATCTCAATATGGCACAAGTGACCAGAGCTACCCGTAATTTCTCACCTACACTAAAGATAGGCGAAGGAGGGTTCGGAACAGTGTATAAGGCCCATCTAGAATCTGGCCAGATGGTTGCGATTAAACGAGCAAAAAAGGTAAAGTGAATCTGCTCACTTGGATATTTTTTCTGCAACTTTTCCCCAATGTTTAGCATAACTTTGAAACTTGTTTTTTGTTTTATCAGTAAAATTTGTGTTATATATGCAATGAATAAGAGTAGTCATTGCACTGAAGTCTGAATCATTAAATAATAAATATACAAGACAGAATTTTTGGATCATTAACAGTTGATAACTGCCTGCATAATATACACAGGATTCTCCTATTGCATGTGTTCCTAAATAAGGTACCACTAAAATATATTTAATAACAGAGTGCAGTGATTTAAGACAAAATTAGTGAGTTACAGAAGCATCTCGGGTTTAATCGTCTAATAATTTGTAAGGAACCCAACCTAGGTTATGAAAGGAACTGCCAGTTCGATCAGTTATTAGGTTGTAAACTTGTGGAGTGGTTTGATCAAACTGGACGCCGAGTGTGGGAAACTTTTACTGTTAACTGTCGGGGCAAGTGGATAATGAACACCAAAGAGTGTAACATAATGTACCTAAAGTTTTATGCTAGTAACAATGTTGAAATTTTCTCACATTTATTTATTATTTTGAAAGGATTCTTAGATATCGACTCTGTAGCAATGGTGACAGACTTGGAAGTGGCTTAAAATATTCAAGTTATTTTCTTGTGCCTGTTTCATGCATTAAGGTTTAAGCCATCTTGTTCTACGCTAAGGCTGTTTGGTTGGCTGACATAAGTATATTGTCTAGGAACATTTTGAGAATCTGCAAACGGAGTTCAGCAGTGAAGTTGAACTTCTAGCAAAGATCGATCATAGGAACCTTGTGAAGCTACTTGGTTATGTCGATAAAGGAAATGAACGGCTTATCATTACAGAATATGTACCAAATGGTACTCTAAGAGATCATTTAGATGGTAAGTTCTCTTCCCACGATAAGTACCCGACTTTTTGGTAAACGATCTTGTTAAAGGCTTTTAAAAATCGTTATTATGCTGCTATTCCTGGCAGGTCAGCGTGGGAAGATCCTAGATTTCAATCAGCGTCTTGAAATCGCCATCGATGTTGCTCATGGCCTCACGTATCTCCATCTCTATTCAGGTAAGCAAATACATTAGCTTGGTTGTGGTCCAAACCACTGCACTAGAATAACACTCGTATATGGTCTTTTCATCATGGCCTCACCTTGGTTTTAAAAGCGCCTCGCGCCGAAAAAATCAACTACCTGGGTCGAGGCGAGGCGGCACAATAAAGGCGCCATGAGGCGCGAGCCTCCGAGTCGGGCGCTGGGCGCAGCGCCTACGCGCTTTTGGTATTTTTTTTTCAGCTTTTGATGTATTAATAAATAATCATATTTTTATACCTAAAAAAGCCTACCCTGTTAAAAATATCCCCAATCCAAATCCCTATCTTATCTTTCTCTCCATCGCACGCACTCTCTTCACCACCTCCTCCGTTCTCTTCTTCGCCGGCAGTCTCAGCATTCACCACCGCCGGGCGCGAGACCAGGTAATCCCCTTCTCCTCCTCTCCTCGGCTGCTGCTGCTCTTTTTTACCACCGTCTCACCCCTTAAGTAATCCCCTTCTTAATCGTGATCCTCTTCTTCACCGACCACAACCATCGCACCAGTCACCGCCGACCAGGTACTGAACTGTTTTGGGTGCTGCTGGACAAACAAATGAAACAATAATAGATGCAAAAGAGCAAATGGGTTATGAAGAATATATCTGTTTAATCTTTGTCCAAAAATAGAACTACTGTAATAATAAGAAGATTTGAGATAAAAACACAAGTCAAAATCTAGTAACCTGTTCATCCCACTTGTCTCGTTTGTTGTCCAGGTTGTCTCCAAGTGTATTCATGCATTTCACTTTTTTCACTCAGAGCAAATTGGGTTTTGATTTATTAATTATTATAATATTTTTTAAAGAAAATACTTTGATTTTGCCGCCAATATCACATGCATATCACTTTTGTCTATTTGATTAATTAATTAATTATAGTATATATATATATATTATATATACCAGAATTACATACTTTAACTATTAAAGTGTTAAATAAAAAATGGACCAAATATGTTTTGTTTGATTCATGCCATACTTTAACTATTAAAGTGTTAAACAAAAAATGACCGAATGTGGTCTGTTTTTTCATTCATATTTTGTTTTGATCGTGTTATGTATGTAGAATTAAATAAAAAGTGGACCTAATGTGTTTTGTTTGATTCATGTCATATTTCTTATGTGTTTTGTTTGATTCATGTCATATTTCTTCTATTTAAACTATGTTTTTATGTTAATTTGTGTGTTATTGGTTGTTAGCTGATACTTGATAGTGTAATGATATTGAATATTTAAATCTTTAAAAAACCATAATATTATTTATTATGTTATTTTGAGTATAAAATATAATTTATATTTGACATATGTTATATAATATAAATAGTGCGCCTCATATACGAAAGACGTGCGCTTTGCCTTGCGCTTAGGCTCCAGAGACGTCGGTGTGTCTTGTGACTTTAAAAACCAAGGGCCTCACACACTCGTATATTTCAGCCTACGCCTTCTCATAATATCTTTTTATCATGAACCAGAAAAGCAAATCATCCATCGAGATGTGAAGTCGTCCAACATCCTTTTGACAGAAAGCATGAGAGCTAAAGTGGCTGATTTTGGATTTGCAAGAGTTGGCCCTATGGACTCAGACCGAACACATATTTCAACCAAAGTGAAAGGAACGGTAGGTTACCTTGATCCGGAGTACATGAAAACCTATCAACTCACAACCAAGAGTGATGTATACTCTTTTGGGATTCTACTTATGGAAATTCTGACTGGCCGCCGTCCCGTGGAGCTAAGGAGACCGGATGAAGAGCGAGTGACTCCTAGATGGGTAAGCTTGCCCTTCATTCTCTTGTTAAGCTTTTGTTATTGTGTTTATTAGGGAACAGTAACATGGAGTAGCTGTAGACAATCTGCAATCAGTATCTAATCAATGAATCTTTTTTTGTTCACATACTCTACTTTCACTACAAGTCTCATACAATAAGACTTCGAAAACAATAACTTGGTATTTGCTTCTAGAAGGTCAGTTGGCTACTTGGGTTTTAAGTTACTAGACTCAAGATATTCGGTCTTCGAAAACAATAACTTGGTATTTGCTTCTAGTAGTTTGCACCTCGGGATTCATGGTTTAATGTCCGTACAGGCTTTCGTAAGTATAATGATGGACATGTAGCGGAATTGGTGGATCCGAGGATGGAAGAATTTGTAGATGCAGAAACACTAACGAAGATATTTGCCTTGGCATTTCAATGTGCGGCACCCGTCAGAAACGATCGTCCGGAGATGAAATCTGTGGGAGAACAGTTGTGGGCAATCAGGGCCGAGTACGTTAAGACTTCAAGGCGAGGGTAACTCTACGTAATCCAATAGTAGTAGTCTCCTCTCCCATTTGCTCAAATCCTTTTATTTTTCTTTTGCTACTACTACTATTTCCAGGTGTTTTTTTCTTTCCTTTCCCCCCTTCTTTTGGAGTATACCATAAGATCCAAATTTGGTCTTAACCAAAAGCTATGATTCGCTTTTCTTTTGTTCTTCGCCATACCTCTTTGACTGTGTGTCATTGTGAAAGCATCAAAAGGAATTATTAAAGAGTATTGCTCAACTTTCATTTTATTGGCTTGATAGTAAATGCTCCTCAGTACATTGCAGCTGCATCCGATAATTCGATACAATTGTATCATCTTAAGATACGATTATAATGTATTGCTTAACATCCTCTATGCTTGTTCTATTTGGAAAAATTAAAAAGATCTGCATGACAATGTTGATCCTATCTAAGTGGAAAATGAAAGCCGGTCCCTAGATTTGTCGGTATTCTTCTATCATAAACGACTATTAAGAAAGCATGGAAATGCCTAAAAACCATCACCATATCTGGTCAAAACCCTTAATGCAGTCTTGAAAGCACTTTTGGAAGGGAGTTTGGTTTATAATGCTTGTATGCTAGAGATTGGCCTCCATCAACTTCTACAGTAAGTGCAAAATATAGATTCGAAAAGTTCGACTTGTTAGCCATCGCCTGCGAGCTATATATAGGAGGGGCGTTGAATCGAGAAGGGAGGATCATGTTTATCTTCAAGGGTAAGCCCCGTCAGCAACAATGAATGAGATCCCCCCACTAGAATAGTTTCAACAAAAGGGGCAATTGAAACCTCAATCTTTTCCACCTGCTCCTCCCCATCAATGGATGCAAGCCTAAGATATGTTCTGGCATGAAATCCTGCCGTGTTAATATGCCCACCTCAGGTTCTCTCTGCACTCACACCATCAACCATTGAAGTCGGAATGCAGAAACATGAAGGAATAGGTTAAGACATGAATATGGAAAGTGTTTCATACGCTGGAGATCTTGGGTATGACGAGTAGGTGTCGCAGACAACTTCACGGAAAAGTGTGAGAGCCTTAGCTAGTGACATTGTCTCCACAACTGTATACGGCGAAGCATTTGTAAAAGGGTGTAGATCCAGGAACATTTCCATCTCCTCGTCAGTTAATTCTATGTCTTCTATCTTGTCAACGTTACCCAATCCCTTCTTTGCAAAATCATCTGCTGAGAAATGCCTAAAAGCATCATCAACACCTAACCGAATAGGAGTGGACAAGAATGCTTTCTTCTTTAGCAGTGCAATAAGATGAGCACAGAGTATCAAACCACACAAAACTGGGGATTCAGAACCTGGAGACGCATCGATAACTGGAAACCCGTGATGCCTTGTGGTTTTAAGGATGTGTACTATGTTGCCGTCCTTCTCAATTCCATGAAAAAGCCGAAGTGGGCAAGAGACAACATCGGCAACAGTTAGCTGTCTCATGTAAGGTTCAGCATGAGTTTCTAGGTAAGGAAAACCTTTTACTTCATAATAAGGTCATAAATGTTACCATTGAAAGCATCAGCTACAGTCTTGGAAACAAGGAGAACCATCATTATTAATGGCAACAGTAACAGGTTATTGGTCAATTCCAGAATTATAACACACAAGCAGACTGTCATTCTCATAGATCCACCAAGGAATGAAGCCGCACCAAGTACAGCATAAAGACCATGACCAAGATTTGTGTGAGAACCAAGTAACATTGCAATGAAGCGCCCATAAGATGCTCCAGTTACTATTGCAGGTACAAATAGATCTGCTGGAGCTACAATCCCATAGCTAAAAATATTTAGAATAAAGCAGGTGATAAAAAAGATGAGCATTGTTGAGAGATGAAACTCAGCGTCGCTATTCTTGCTAGAAGGATTTTTGACAGCATCATTGTAATGACCAGGAGGGCAGTGAAATCTCTTGTAGTTACCAGATCGACCTATTGTGGGACAGGCTTCAGGTGCATCCGAGGGGCACGGTTGGCAAGATGCAAGCCATGGTAATCCAAAAAGCAGACTTGATGTGCAAATCGAGATTGTGCAAGCAATAAAAATTTGATAAATAATGCCTTCCCTGAGAGGAGAAAAAAGGGGAAATAAGCAAGGAGACTAACCCCATAAATTATTGCAAACAAGTGAACAACACACATCTGAAAAATAGAACTTACTCATAAATGAAGTTGTAAACTCGGAGAACCTTAGTTAAAAGGAAATTGTATAAACTTCCTAATATGCCCCAACAATTCCAAGAACAAGAACAGAAGAAACATCAGCAATGTGATACGAAACATTTGCTGAATAGGCATCAAACATTATCAAACCTCCTTTACCAAATAGTCCACATTTGCCACTGTAACAAACATCAATTAGTGCTCGAAGTATGATTGCAACCACAGCAGTCCTAAAGAAAGCTCTCCAAAGAAGGGAACTTCTCCACCTGCAGAACAGAGTCAGGATATTATCTTAACTTGTCAACTTTTGGCTATTTGGTCTTGTCAGAAAGACAACATGAACACCTGTGCTTGATGAATGAAAGAGTTAAAAACACCAATTAAGAGCAATATGCAGTGACATCCAGTACACTAACGAAAGGATGGCTAATAATAACATCAAGGTGATGCCCAAACGATGTATCAATTTTGCATACCAAGATAACATTTCTTCAAGAGCAAACAGCACGCCTCCAAGTGGGGCTCGGATAGCAGCAGCGATTGCAGCTGCTGATCCACATGTTACAAGATCTCGTCGGTCTCTGTCATTCTTAAAGAAATGAAGCCACTTCCCGGTTAAAAAACGGGAATATATAAATAAAGAGACCTTCGTGACAACATCATTTAGAGGTGACGACGAACTTAACGCCGGCGATATTCTCCACGGCGAGATTTTTGAAGAAACCAACAAGACTGACGAAACCGCCGATCAAGAAACAGAGAAGCCATTTCATGAAAATATACTGAAAAATCTTTCCACGTGTTCGCCAGTCCTGTTTGAAGAGATCATTCTCCGCAATCCTTTAAAAGAAAGAGCAACACTTAAAAAATTAAAAATATCAGCGGAAATAAAGAAAAACAGGTAAGAAGAGAGGTTACTCGTAGTCGAGGCTTTCGATAGGACAGGCGCTGGCGCCGACGATGGCCACATGAGAGGTGGAATTAATGGATCGTTGTTGGTGCGAGAGTAAATCGGTGAGAGACTCCAAGTCTTGGTCGTTGGATTCGATTTGGTAAGGCGGCGCATGTTCTGACATGCCCTCACGTGGCACGGCGTTTTGGGTTGGTTGGTGGAGCTTGGGCGGAGGCTTAAGTCAAAATAAAGAGTGACGGAGGAGTCAAAGGTGGAAGGGAAGATAAAAGAATCTGTTCTGAATTAAATAAAAAACAAACCTGCACGAGAATCTATAATTATAAATAAAAAATAGTCAGTGACAGAATTTAGAAGTCACACGTGCCAACGTGTCAATAATAAAAGAGACATAAAAAAAAGAATGAATTTATAAAATTTTAAAGAAATAAAAGTTTAAAATATTTTATAAGATAAAAATAAAATTTTAATTGAATAAATAAAGAATTTTATTAAAATGCATATAAATTTAAAATTTTAAAAAAAGAAACCGTCTCTCTGAGCCATCCCTGCTGATAATGTCGTTTTTAAGTTGATATATAATATCTTTATACCAAATTTTAATTAGTATTTGTACGCACATATTAGATAATTAAAATAACAAGTTAGAAAATTTAATAATCATTCAATTTAAAATTTAAGAAAAATAATATAATTTAAATTAATAAAAAATAGAATTATTGGTAAATAAAATATGGTCATTATTAAATTAATTCAGATGCTAAATAAGGTATGCAAACTCGTTCGGTATTCTCATCCTGATTATGTGGCTTTACTGTAATTTTGGTCCCGTTTATTGTCCATTCCAGCTACCTCTCATGGAAGCTTCAAAAACCTTGCTAACATAATTCATTATCCAAATTAATACTCAATAGAATGTTAGTGGGCATATTTTCTAGGACCCAAACTCTGCTCAAAAGGGGAAAAAATAACAAATGCAAATATTTAAAAATAAATTATATTTTATCATTTTTTAGACAGAGTGAAAATATTTTATATGAAATTATAAGCGAGATAAAACGAAATATTTATATGGATTTTAATATTAGATAGTTTTTAGTTATTTTATTTCAAGATTAAATAAAAAGTACATAATATTTTTATAGTATTATTAATTATTTTATATTTTTAAATAATTTAATACCTAACTGACTCGTGATATTAATTTCGTGCATGATAAAATAACAGGTCATTAAAGAGAATAGACTTGGGTTGGTTAGCATGGAAAATTAGAATATCATGGGCATGTCTAATAACAACTCAGTTACACAAGCCCAATAGACGTTAGCCTAATTGGTTACTGTAGAGTTGCAACTAGACCCAGTCATATTCTAATACAAACATGTTAAAATTTAGGGTAGACTACGAGTTTATTATCCAAACAATAAGTTTTGATCCATTTTAATACTTAATTTTTGTTTCATTTTAGTACTTCACCATTAAAAACGCTAGTTTTTGTTTTATTTTAGTACCCCATTCAAAATTTAACGTTAAGTTTTGACTTAAATTTTAGGTAATAAAACTGTCGGAACCGTATTTCGGTTGGACCCCAGAGTTGGGTTTCGACTTGAATAATTGGGTTAGAGTCGCCACCGATCACTTAAAATTTAGGTGGATCGGACACCATCTTACCTGATATGCGTTTTACCAGAAATATGTCGGGTTCGGGAGTCGGTTACGGTCAATGAAGGATTAGCACCCTTGAACCGCCCTTTCGGTACCAATTAATTTGTCAGTTGTCTTAATCCGCGAAAATTAAAAATAAAATTTAAATTATTCGATCCAAATTACTTACCTCAGATAGTTTTAAAGGTGTACCCTTAAGAGAGTCAAGAAATTTGTTAGATAAAAAAATGAAAATAAAGAAAATAAAGAAAATAAAAAAACAACCGAAATAAAGGAATAAAAAAGGAGTAAAGATAAAAATGAATACAATAAGAAAAATAAAATGAAGAAAAAAAGAATAATAATGATAATAATATATACATAATAAACAAGTAAATAAAAGAAGAAGAAAATACAAATAAATAAAACAAATGTAAAGGAGATAAAAAATAAAGATAAGGAATAAAAATAAAAATGAAATAGGGGAAAATAAAAAAAAAGGTAAACAAAAATAAATAAAATAGAATAACAATAATAATAATAATACTAATAAAAACAATAAGTAAA